GTTCATGGATAGTTTTAGTATTGTATTTCTTTTATTGCGCACTAAGAATGTTGTTCATTTCTGCTTTAAGTTAATACATTTTCTAAAATTAAATATACAAATCACTTAACCAAACTTATACTAATCTTTTTTAGAAGATATAGAAGCGTAAAAGCACTAACACTCCAAAATATGGGTGTAAACAGCCAAACAGGCTAGACCAGACCGAGCTTTTACATAAACAGGACGATCCTGTTTTAGAATGTATAGGCTTGATGAGCCTGGCCTGTTTTTTCGGCCTGATCCTTACTAGTCCTGTTTAGAAAAATTATCATAAGTTCAAAAAAATTAAAAATAAAAAGTGACAAATACTATTAACTCGGTATAAAGTTTATCTTCCCAAATATTCACTAAAAAGTCTTAGGGAAAAGGGTCAGATAGGCCATCGAACTTACATAAAAAGGTCAAATAAGCCCCTATATAGGAGGCTCTGTCCGACCATCGCCATTTGGGGTGGTTCCCGGTCGAATTTTTTGATGAATTTTTTTTATCATCTTATTCATTAAGTCTAGTTTACTCATACAAAATTCCAGATAAAACTTCAATCGGGAAGGCATTCAAATGAATTCTTGAAGATAACTGCGCAGTTATCTTCAAAAATTCATTTCAATGTTTTTCCGATTGAATTGTTAGCTGAAATTTGGTATGAGTAAACTAGACTTAGTGAATAAGATTCTGAAAAAATTTAATCAAAAAATTCCACCAGAACTGCCTCAAATGACGACGACCGGACAGAGTCTCCTATATAAGGGCTTATTTAATCTTTTTATGTAAGTTCGAGGGCCTATGTGAACATTTTCCCAAAGTCTTATAATATGTTAGTTTTCTTTGGATGTTTAGTAACACATTAGTCATGTAACTTATAAATTTGGGGTTATGTAAAAAATATTACTAAAAAAAGAGTTTTGGATAAACAAGTGACCTTTTTTAAAATTTCCAAAAATGAGACCAAAAATAGGCTAAGGGAGTATTATACTCCTTATTTCACTCAGCTACAGTAACGGTACGGTGACCAAAATCCGATAGTGACCAAAACCAGATAGTGACCAAAAATTAAAAATCAGATTGTTACGACATCTCATTGAACATCGGGGCAGTGACCACGGGCGGTCACAATGACCACCCGACTCATCCAGTTACAGTTACTCGACTCATCCAGTTACAGTTATCTGACCCATCCAGATACAGTTATCCGACTCGTCTCTAGTTACTTGACGCACCCAGTTACAATTACATGACTCGTCCAGTTACAGTTATCCGACCCATTCAATTACAGTTATCCGACCCACCCACTACGGTTACTCGACCCAATTACACATTTAATTCAACCACCGCAAATACCTAGTTCAACCAGTTAAAGTTACCTCGTCCTAAAAGTAACCATAGCCGCCACCGCTGAGCACCACCACCTGCCACCTTCGCCGACCACCAACGTCGGTGAGCCGCCACTACGCTCTGGTGCCCAACCACCACGTTAGTGCCCATCCCGCCCATCCCACCCATACCCTCTCCGGTGACCACCCACCCCAACCGCCTCTCCAGCCTTCCACAACCCCCAAAGCCCTCTCCTACCGCCGGCGACAGTGACCCAGCTTGCGACCTCTCACCACCACCGCCCCTGACCAGCAACCGCCGCCGCTTTACCCGCACGCCTACAACAAGTCCCTTCCTCCATACACCAACGTTCCACATTTTCTTAAGGTCGACAGGAATCTGCCATAGCGACAAAGTCACCGATTCGATAGATCTCGCCGCTGGTTGGTGTTTCAATTCTCACCGGATCTACGAAGCTTATCGCCGCCGCTGGAGGAAACAATGGTGGAGCGAGCAACAACAGTTTGCAGACAAGAAAATAAAGGAGAAGAAGAGAAGGGGAGAAGTTCTACTCGCAGGTGTAGCAACCGCAGTCGCCGCTCTTCGTAGTCGTCTCTCTCCGTAGCCGTAGCTGTCGATCAGATAGTCACCGTCTTCGTGACAGAGTTTCGCCATGGACATATTTTTCAGATGAGATGTCCAACATTCCATGGCAAGGCTGTGTGGTCCGTCTGGGTCGCATAATCCGATCGAGGAGGGGTGTAAAACGGGAAGTCCAAGAGATTGGAATCGGGGATTGGGAGTAGGGGTATTTGAGACATTTTGATCTTTTTGATCACATTTATGTCCCAAACGAATATGCACATACTTTTGTCCACGGGATACTTTGGAGACTTTTTTTAGACATTCTTTCTATAAATTTTTACAACCATGCTTTCCTTGGCGTACACAAGATGTACGCAAAATGTGATAAGATGTACACAAAATGTGTACATTACCTGCGTACACGGGTAATTGGATATCAAATTCGGTCTTTTCTAAATGAATTGTCTGTGTACACACGCAATTAGGGGAGTTTTGTGTACAGTTTGTGTACAACTCATGTACACTAAGCATTTTCCAAATTTTTATGTACTTCAAATCTGGAAAGCTTTAAATTTCAATTATCATAATAACCTATTAACACATTTCATATATTCCCTATTTAAAATAGTATTCTAATTTATAATATCATAATGCACACTCCATAAAAACACTTTTATGTCTAATTTGTCATAGTTAAGTATACTAATATAAATATAAATAATACAAATATATATATATATATACAAAATAAATATAAATAATACAAAAAATATAAATAATACAATATATATATATATACACACACATAGAAAAGATCTTGTCCGAATGTTCGGACCTGAGCCTCCGTCCAAACAACGCCGTTAGGAGCAGTTCCCGGTCGAATTTTTTGATGAACTTTTTATGGTATGTTCTTCATCAAGACTAGTTTATCCACAAAATATTTCAGCTCAAAATTCAATCGGGAAGAACTTCAAATGTTTTTTTGAAGTTGACTGCGTGTTTCTATATATAATTTGGCGCAGTCAACTTCAAAAAATCATTTGAAGGTCTTCCCGATCGAATTTTAAGCTCAAATTGTTTGAGGATAAACTATATTTGATGAAAAACATACCATAAAAATTTCATCAAAAAAATAGACCGGGAACCACCCCAAACGGCGGTGTTCGAACGGTGCCTCCTAATCAAACGTTCGAACATGATAAGTTCTGTATATATATATATTAATATATATGTATATATATTAATATATATGTATGTATACCCACATATACATATAAGTATATATACATACATACAAATAGGCCACTTGTTAAGCTAAACAGGCTTTAGAGTTGGGTTAAGCCTGATCTGTTTAGACAAACAAGCCTTTCATGAAGTCCAAGCATGAAACAGGTTAGATTTTCATGAAGCCTTTCATGAAGGCTTTAAATAATTGAGATCAGGCTTAATTTTCATACTCCAAATTAAAAGTTCCATTTTGTTGTTTTTGGAAAAAGCAATTGATCTTTTGATATTGTGCCCTATGATTTTCTTGTTATTGCAATCATGAGTGCGCTATCAATGCATGCATGAAAAGTGGCATTTAGAGTATTATAGTTTTATGCTTGACCGGGGCAGCTATGTTGATGCAAATAATTGCAATCAGCTTATGCTTATATATACGGATCAGTACGATACTGAATTACTGATAGTAATATATAACTAAAGTAGTTGGTATATGAATCATGTAATATATTGCAAATTTGTAGACAATTTATAAATAAATTTAGAGCCGGTTTGGTTACTCTATTGTCTTTCGGCTTATCAGGCTTATCAGTCAACTTTTTGACCAAACACTCAACTTTTGATATTGCACGTTGAATTGTGTAATAATAAGGAAAAATAAGATTGAAGTTACTTTTCTGGTTGTATTGGCTGATATATACTGTAGATGATTATTTTAGTTGTTCTTTCATACAATTTTTCCTTATTTTATTAATAAAATATATTTTAAATATATTTTTTCATAAATCAGCACGCTCAGTTAATCCAGTCACTTCAATGAGAACTACATAAATTTCAACGCAATAAGTCAGTACAGCTGATTTGAGTAATTAAACCAGCTAAAATCCGTAAACAACTACATGTATCCTCCATCCGTATGACAACGGGCCAGCCAGCCACGTACTATAATGTCAATTCAGCCAAACCGTTGACTGTAAATAACAAAAGAAAAACGCATCCCGAAGTGGAGACTAATTGCAGACTTCGCAGAAAATAAGGGTTTTCCTGAAATAAAATAAAAATGCAACTCTAAAAAAGTCCACTCTTTGAAAAGCCATTTCCCATGAAAAGTTTATAAGTTGATACATTGTAGTTAGCTCAGCAGTTTATATTGTCGGCCAAATTGTACAGCAATTCACTGCTGCTGTGTCTCTAGCATTTGCGGAAAATTCTTGGTAGTTAACTTCTATTAATGTCTCAATTTCTTTTTCGGAACATATTAAATTAATTGTCCCAAAATTCTCACATCATTATGAAAAGGAAATTTACTTTAACAACCGTTACGGTATCATTACAGTACTGTAAAGTAACAAAACCTCTTACTTTTTGAGAACGATGATTTGATACAGATGATGGAGTATCATTTTCTTAAGACGAAGACAAATATGATATCGATAAAAAATTATACTCAAGAACTTTTCTCCCAAATTTTATCGATGTTTTTTTGAAAGGAAATTTTATCGATGTTATAACAATGTATCTTAAATACTACGTACAATAAAATAAATATTTGTTTTTTTATCAAAATAAAATAAATATTTGTGATACAATATATAGGACATGCCAGGGGCCCTAAGAATTTTTCCTAGCATGCACCCAGGCCACCTACGTACAACATAAAAAAGGATGACACTACATTCTCAGGATCTCAGAACAGAGTCACCGACCAGACATTATTTGAGGATGTAAGTCATTCTTTGGGTTCCACCAGCCTACGTACAACATCAATGTACTACGTACGTATCGTGTATATATAGCCCAGCTAACAGATCACCATTCATCTAATTCCCCATTTAAGTATTAGCTACTCCATAATACTTTGGTACGCGTCTAAGAAGATGGCTTTTCATATCTATAATTTGGGAATTTTGTTTCTCTTATTAGGAGCACAGCTCATAACAACCGCCGTCCATTGCCGGACGCTCCGGAATTCCGTCGGAAACGTCAACGGTTTCGAGCACTATCAAACGCCGGAAACTGAAGTTGCAGAAAAAACTGAGGGAAAGGCGGCTGCTTTTTCTGTTTCTTCACCAACCTGCGGTAAGGAATGCTCCTCCTCGCGTAAGGGCAATTCAGTCAAAAGCATGGCGTTCATATTAGCTTCTGGTCCAAGCAAGAGAGGCGCTGGTCACTAGCTAATTTAATAAAGACCAAATTACGTACAAGTCTACATCGATCACATACACTGATACACATATACGGAGTATATACGTACATGTATTAATGTATATATATACGGTCACAACAAAAACAAAACTTTTAGATTTGTTTGTATAGTTGTGGAATCTGCATTTTTGACTATGTTGTTTGACACCCATTAATCTTCTTACATTTTATTCCGTTCACTAAGCGGGTGTCTAGAAGTTAGTGGTAAAATTTTAAAAGTTCGTAGATTTTAAAAGATTAGATGTATTTAACGTGGACTTCTAAAAGTCTACAAAAGTTGTGTATTCAATGTAGACTTTTAAAAGTTTATAAAGGTCTAGACATATTCAAAGTCTTGTTCATTCTTATTGATTTCCAAAATCATGGATTCTCGTGAATTTTTAACTCATTTTTAATACATTAATTCTCTGCAATTGTCTCTTCTCCTCACTAAAGATTTCCGTGGACTTTTCTTATATCGATTCTTCATCCCGTCTCACCTCATCCCTCCACTCCCCCCAACTCTCCTCTTCTTTAGCCAAGCCACATCTTCCTCTTCGATCTTTCTTCTTCTTCATCCCAGCTCGCCCCACTCCTCTCCTTCCTTTCTTTTTCTTCTTCAGCTTGCCCAACCCCGCCCCCTCGATTCCCCCTCAATTCTTTAATCCCATATTGGTTTGATTCTAGAAGTTCCTAGAAGAATTGGTATAAGAATCGATAGTATACATCAATGCAATTGTGGTATGTCGTCACTTAACCATTAAGAAAATAAATATTTTAACTATTACTTTCTTTCATCGTTAAATCGCTAACTATTTGTTTGTTTGTTTGTTTGTTTGTTTTTTGTTTGTTTGTTTCTTATCATACTCTGTATTATACAAAGGAAATTACTCAGGGTAGGACTAAAACATAACATTCTTCTTAAAGTACGATCATATGTTTGATTTTCCTTAAATAGGACTAAATATTACATATCCACCCCTAATTTAATTTAATTAATTAATATAATTAATTGTCTCTAGTTCCCTTGCATAACCAAACCGATTTTGTTGGTGGCGGATTAGTCTGATGACAACAACGGGGAAATCCGGTGACGGAGGCGGACGGGCAGATCGGTAGTGGCGATCTAGGTGAAAATTTCGACGCCCAGTAGTGGCATTCCACATTTAAAAGTCTATGGACTTTTTGAAAGTTAATAAACTTATTCATGGATTTAAAAATCAATAGAATTCATTCATAAAAAAGTCTATGGATTTAAAAGTCCATTGATTTTTTAAAAGTGCACGAATTAAAAAAAGTTCACCACAATCCATATTCAATACACCCCCTAAGAGACGGTGTATATACTTTTCAATCGTGAATTTCTAAAGACAGCTTCACTTTGGCGTTGTGGTGCATATTGAAATTAAACTATCATATTTTATGGAATACAATAGCAAAAATATTTAATGTGTAATGCGAAAATATGGAGTAATTCTCCTTGTTGTATTCGATAGCATGTGTCCAACATATTACATATATATCCTAAATTATCTCCTCTAAATAAGCTAATTGCCAACAATAAAAATACACATACGAGTACTATGCCACAGTTTACAAGTTAAATATGGAATTGATTTGTAGTATAATCTAGAAGATATGGAGAGTAAACTAAAAATGTACAAAATATTCCCAATACTCCTCATCCTCAAGTTGGAGCATGAAGATTTTGAATGCCCAACTTGGCGAGTAAGAAATGAAAAGAATGACGACCAAGAGCTTTCGTTAGAATATCAAACAATATAATTGCAAAGAAGTAAGAGTATAAATAGGAGCAATCGTATGATGGACAATTTCATCACGAACAAAATGACAGTCGATCTCGATGTGATTGGTACGCTCGTGAAAGACATGATTATTAGCGATATGAATCGCTGCTTGACGATCACAATGCAAAGGAACAGGTGAGGGACACGAGACGCTCAAGCATTGTAGTAAACCCTTCAACCACAAGATTTCACAAGTAGCGAAAGTCATTGCCCTATATTCTGCCTCGGCAGAAGAATGACCAAGAAATGGGAGAACCACCAAGAAACACAAAATACTCAGTAAGAGATCTTCTGCTAAGGGGACAACTGACCCAATTAGCATCACAATAAGCATGCAAACAATGTTCTAAAAATCGCTCTAGCCGTCCGACTAGTCCACACCTAGGCGCTAGGCGGTAGTCGGGCGTTCTGATTTTAGTTTAGGCACAAATTTGTCCCATGTTTTCGTATGCACATAGCACATGCATCTGAAAGTACGAAATTGCTTGTACAATGGTGGTTTGTGATACAACATTTCGTACGTACTTTTATTGTTGATTACCAGGGAAGGAAGATGACTAATAAGATATCCTGCTATTAAAACACACTCTTCCCAAAACTCAATTGGGAGGTGCGCATGAAAATGCAGTGTTTTAGCCATTTCCCAAATACGGCGATGGTTGCGTTCTACTCGACCATTTTGTTGGGGCGTATGAACACAAGATGTTTGAAAAATTATACCCTAGATAAGAAAATAATTTTTCAAACTCTTGAATTTCGTCCCGTTATCACTTCTAACAAGCGTCACAATTTTATTAAATTGACGCTGCGTCATGACACACAATTGTTTGAGAATATGTTCTACTTCATTTTTTTCATTCATCAAATAAATCCAAATAGCTTGGGAAAAATCACCATCAACAGACATAAAATATTGTGCACCACGAGAAGGCTGAACTCGATAAGGTCCTCAAACATCACAATGAATTAATTGAAACCGTTTAGAAGCTCAAGCAACATTAATAGGAAAAATGTCTCGAGTTTTCTTCCCCGTCATACAAGCAGGACGGGTTTTATTATGATCAAAAGCAACAACTAATTTATTTGTGCTAAGAATAGACCGCAACACTGTCGTAGAGGGGTACTGTAATTGTGAATGCCATAGATGAGTGGTATTCTCTGTTATTGATGCATGCACCTGTATCTGATCTACTCCACGAAAGTAGAAAACTCCCCCGCATCGCTCACCCACTCCAATCATCATCATCATAGGTTAGACTTGTATCACACAAATATCATTAGTAAAATATATCACATTTCAAGTCATCCATTAATCGCGCTATTGAAATAAGATTGCATCTTAATCCCGACACTAACATATGACATTTGTTTATTAAAATTATTGTCCCCGAAAATACTTCACCCATGCAAGTTGCATTAGTCACGTCGCCATTAGGAAGGGTCACCAGAACCAGAGTTAAGGTTTCACTATTCTGGACAAGCTTTGAATTTCCGTCAAGTGATATGACGCCCCTGAGTCGAGTAGCCAAGCGTTGTCAATTTTCTTACCCGATAATTTTTCATCAGATGATGCCAGCTTACAATTTTCAAGGAGCTTTACAAGACTCATCCACTGCTCGTTAGTGAAAGTTGGTGCAGGGATAGTCATCTCCCTCACATCTTCTTTGACTCCAGGCTCTTCTCTAATATGTATTGCATTGGTGACAACTTTTCACGTCCTTTTCCTGTACCGGTTCCCACCTCATGCTCTACCTCCGTGACCTCTTCCCGGATTTTCAAATCACCACTCCGAATCTTTATCTCTTCGTTTTTCTGCAAAATGGTAATTGATACCTTTTAAAACATTTTTTTAAAACATTCGTTTATCTCTTTGATGGAGTCCTTTTAAAACATTTTTCTGCAACATGTCCGGTTCATTTGCAGTATGTACATACCGGCTTATCATCGCATCCAAGGCCATCGTGCTCGTGTTTACCGTGAAGGCCATTGCATAAGGTTTATTATCACATCCACGCATCAAGTTACGATGCCTTACTTCTTGAATTACCATTTGGTAAATTATGACCATTGATGGTAATTTATCTAAAGTGAGAATATTAGAACATAAGACTCCACAAATCTCAGAATCCAGTCCGAGCAGAAACTCATGAGCCTTTTCAGTTTTGAAATGCTTCAAAAAAATTTATTGAGATCACAACTACACCCACCACAGTCACATTGGGGAACGTTGTGATACCAATCATGGTCATCCCACAACACCTTCAACCGGCCAAAATAAGAGGTGATCTGCTTACCATTCTGCCTACAACTTCGAATTGAATCATTCGATTCGTGAATTCGCATATGGTCTTCGATGGGGAAACACCCTCGTAGATCCTCACATATATCTTGAGCGCTATCCATGTATGTAACATTTGTTCTCAACGCAGGATCAACGACAGTCATAATCTACCCACCGATCATTGAGTTCGCAATCTCCTAATCTTCCAGATCAACTCCGCCGGCAATTGGTCGTTCGATGTTTCCATCTATGAATAATGCTTTTTGTTTGGCCCGTAACACATTTTTCATAGAGGTAGCCCATTCTTGATAATTCTCTTCTCCTCTGAGTGTACGTTGTGCCACGCAAATACTGAGGTCAGGGAAATCATAATTTGATAAGAAGTATTGTGAATCCGGGTCATTAACTTTCTATCAAGTGTAGTCATGATGTCGTAAGATGTCAAGAGTATTGTTCCACGAGGTTATTGTCCGTTCGTCACGCGTGTACGTAGAGAGTGATTTCACAGGGATTGTAAGCACTTCTTTGATACCATAATAAATTAATATTGAACGAATATACACTTCTGGCTTCCGTTAATTCTAGTTCTAGTCTTTCGGTACAAACCTAAAATTAAAATAATTGTTTCTTATTTTTAATTTTTTTAACACTATTCTATTATATCATATAAATTAAAATAATTGTTTCTTATTTTTAAAATTATTAGTCATGTATCATAAAGTTTTATTGTTTTACGCATTATTTAAATTTTATTTTTTACTTTCAGTTTCTTTTCTTTTTAAAATTTGATTTTATTTTTAGTCTTTTGTTATTTCTCCATTTATATTGGTCTTTTTGACCTTTTGGTACTTTTTTACATTTTTAGTTTTTTGTTAAAGATATGGAGTAACCCCAGTAATTTTAATTAATTTATCAATGCGTAATAGCTTATTTGCATTCTACCGGAGGTATAGAAGGAGTAGGTGAACAAGTCTTGCTACATAATACGGAGTAAAGCCCATGATGATGATGAGTTTTAGGAAGGTGACTATTTGTGAAAAGAAGAGCGTTACTAGTCTATATATGAAACAAAATTTAAACATCAATAAAAGTGATATTATTTTCACTTTTAAGATTATTTGTAATACTTGAGATTTAATTTAAATGGATTAATAGTACTACTCATACGAACAAGGTGCATTTCCTTTTAAGGGAGCTCATTAGCCAAGAACTCCAAAGTTAAGCGTGCTTGCATGAGAGTAGTCTTGGGATGGATGACCCCCTGGGAAGTTTCCCAGGGAGCGAACGAGTGAGGACAAAGTGCGCAGAAAAGGCTAGTGACGGTTTGTGAAGACAGTATTAGAGGTCAGAAGTAACCACCTCGGGGCCTACGGGGCCGGGGTGTTACAAATGGTATCAGAGCAACCATGCGACAGTGTGCTAATCCGTTGGATATCGGGCGGGCACTTAGCAGGGGGAAAAATTCTGGGATATGATTGAGATTGGGTTATGGGCGCAACGAGAACGTTGCATTCCTAAGTGGGGGTGATTGTAATATTTGAGATTTAATTTAAATGGATTAATAGTACTAGTCATACCAACATGGTACATCTCCTTTCAAGGGAGCTCATTAGCCAATAACTTCAAAGTTAAGCGTGCATGCACGAGAGTAGTCTTAGGATAGGTGAACCCCCTAGGAAGTTTCTCAGGGTGCACACGAGTGAGGACAAAGTGCGCGGAAAAGGCTAGTGACGGTTTGTGAGGACAGTACTAGAGGTCAGAAGCAACTAATAATAATAATAATAATAATAATAATTATTATTATTCTTATTATTCTTATTATTATTCTTATTATTATTATTATTATTCTTATTATTATTATTATGATGATGATCATCATCATCATCATCATCATCATCATCATCATTAGTATTAGGAAAAATGAAAACTAATAATCCAACCTTTTAACAGTCTTTTTACAATAGTCTCACCTTTTCATTATTCATGAATAATACAACCTTTGCACCACATCTTCATTCACCGGTCCCTGACCGATTTATGATCTGTTATTCCAAGTTATTTTCTTATATTTGTAAAACATTATACCATAGTTTCCACCTTATGATCACATAATATTTTGCAAAGGTAAGAAAACAACTTAGAATAACATGTCATAGATCGGTGAGAGACCAGTGATTGAAGATGGGGTGCAAATGTTGGATTATTAATGAATAATGAATAGGTGAGACCATTGTAAGAAGACCGCTAAAATGTTGGATTATTAGTTTCCATTTTCCCTTAGTATTATTATTATTATTATTATTATTATTATTATTATTATTATTATTATTATTATTATTATTATTATTATTATTATTATTATTATTATTATTATTATTATTATTATTATTATTATTATTATTATTATTATTATTAGTATTGTTATTGTTGTTATTATTAATACTTGTACTATGTTATTATTGTTTGATTTAGTCTGTTCGTATTTTAAGTCATACAAGTGACTAAATAATTTAGATGATCTTGATTTTTATGTTCTGGTCTAATTTGCTTCGGTCAGCGATTGAAATCAGTTCAAGTAAAATGATAACAATTTTCGATAATTTGAAAGGAATATTATTATTTTTAATTATAAATGAATAAAATATAATTATTTATGGATTATAATATATATAAAAAAATAAAATCTTTATGTAAAAAATATAAAAAATTAAATTTCAGACTAGACCAGATAAGACTAAACCAAACCAGACTAAAAACAGACAAACCAAATGAGACTAAAACAGAATGAGCTCTTCACACTTCAAATTCGTCTATGGCGATGAAGCTCCTCAGGGGATGCGACACTTGTACGTAGCGATCAACTCTCCTTATGTATTTTCTCTCCATTCTCGCTGATCCCTGCACATCGCTGTGGTATTTATTTCCTCTGCCGGCGGCGATTTGAGAGGATGCTATCGATAACATCCGAGGACCTGAACTACCTAATTTTTCGCTACCTTCACGAATCCGGTACCCATCTGTCTCTTTAATTTCGTTGGTTATGTTTGAGCTTAAGATTTAAATGTGCTGATGTGGAATTACGAAAAGCTAGTGAATCTGAAATAAGATACTCATACTTTAGCTATTTAGGGTTTTCCCTCCAAACAATCTTTCTCATGTGTGTAAATCGTAGTTCGTTCATGCTTGAATCTTGCTCAAGTTTAGATTTGTTAGTATTCCTCCTTTGCATTGCTAAGTATTATTAACTTTGATTATGATTTGCTGGAAGTAAATGCATGGTAGAATTTGAGTGTGAATTTTTTCTTTCTTTTGCTTCCAAAGCCTGCCTTACTTTAATCAGAAATTGCGTATTTGTTTGCTTGTAAGAGAGTAGCATTTGTCATCAATAGGGAGTCATTTCACTCATTTGTTTGCATGTAAAAAAAGTGCTCGGAGTATGACTTGAAGATAACTGATGCAAGTTTGATAATATGGCTTCTAAGCTCTAGCTAACAGACGGGAGTTAAGTGAGGCCTTAGGCGGCCAAAACATGGGAAATAAATATAAGATGTGGTGGAAATAGTGGATGACTGTGGTGGAAATAGCTGACCGTTTAAGAAATTTGTGAAATATGACAGTTAATGGTGGTGCCATTTGGGCCATCTGCCATTATAACACTAGTATAAAGAGCCATTATATACCTTTTTCCAAAATAAAGATTCCTATGCTCCTTGCTCAGACTGATATTTTTTAGGGACACCGCAAGAAATGACTGACATTCTTATATGAGTAAATTCCAATTGACTGACTATGTAGTTCTTTTTGTTTCCTCCTTCCTGATTTACATTTTAATGTCATAATTATGCTTCGGAACGTGTATTGGAACTCCAAAGCAGTGAAGCCAAAGCATTTCTCCCTTTTAATAATAAACCATCGGCCTACAGAAATTCTTAAGATTAATCTATTTATTTTATTTTCAGGGTTGACATATAACAAAATCGAATAATAGAACAGAGTATGTATTTGCTCTGGATCTAAATAGCTTTGCACTTTTTGTGTTTTCATACCCAGTTTTTGTCTCACAGTGAAACAACCAACCAGTTAACTCTTTCCCTTCCGCATGCGAATATGATCATGTAAAGATTTAACAATTTAAAGTTTATGTTTGACCATTAAATTGTATATTCTGTTGCCCTGCTTTGCAATAGTTCATCAAGTGATGCAAGAATATCATAGATTCTTTTTTACTCAATATGTTTGGAAAAACTGGGTCACGTTCTTGGGTTCATATACATTAATTTACTCACTTTACATTCAGGTTTTACACATACTGCTTTTGCCCTGGGCTATGAGGCAGGTATACATAAAAGCACTATTGATGGAAATTTGGTCCCTCCTGGTGCTCTTGTTAAATTCGTTCAAAAAGGGATTCAGTACCTTGAATTGGAAGCTAATTTGAGTAATGTATGCTTACCCTTGTCCTTCTTTATAGTAAGCTTATGTTGGACCCTATTGAAACTCTTTGGTACTGATAATGGCTAAGTATCTAGGATGATGCTGACATGGATGAAGATTTTCAACTTCTACAACCTTTGGACCTGATAACCAAGGATGTGAATGAACTTCAAAAGATCATTAAAGAGAAAAAGGAAAATCTTTACAAGGGTAAATCCCGAGGAAAGGAAAAAGGTCATAGTGAAAGTGAGCATCATGAGCGAGAACATGTGAGAGAAAGGGAGAAGGAAAAGAAGCAAAGAGATAAAGATCGAGAACGCGATAGAGAGAAGATAGAGAAGGATAGGGACAAAGAAAAAGGAAAAGACAAAGAGAAACCTCATGAGGATCTTATGGAAGTGAAACAGTGTAGTGATAAAAGTACTATCCGGCATGAAATTAATGAAAGTGCCAGAGGTAACAAATGCATTATGTCTCCTTATGCACCTTCATTGATCAATGCTAGGGATCATCAAAGTTGGAATTTATAGGAATTAGGGAGACATTCGTTTGTCGCACATACTCATTGGAGGATGAAAAGTCAGGCACATGTTTATCACGCAATTAATGTATCACATATGAATGAATCCCCATATGTTCCAATTTTTATGTCTCCCTAGCATTACTCTACTCCATCTTTAATACCCTAGGCTATTTACACTTTTTCATTTTAAAAAAAATTGTTATTTATGTTATCTTTTATGTGATTTCCTTCACTTTGCTTGCTAACATGTTAAGTAGAGCCTGAACCCATGGAGATTTGCACAAGCATGACAGCCTTATCATGTGAAATACCAAGTTCTGATATCATTGTATTAGAAGGGCATACATCTGAGGTTTAATTGCATACTGTGATTTCTTTTTCTTTTTAGGATACTAGTGTTTAGGTGCTCAAAGTGAAAATGTTTGCTTGATTATGTGGCAGGTTTTTGCATGTTCGTGGAGTCCATCAGGTTCACTTCTTGCATCTGGGTGGGCACATGGCCTTGAACATTACCTGGTTTAAATTTATTCATTACAATGATGTGGCTTTAAATATATTTTCTTATCACGTCTAGCTAGTTATATCGCTTTCACTGGTAAATATGTGTTGGGTGGGGATAGTATAAATGTTTGTAATTCGACTGGTTTCCTTCCTAGACCAGATTATATTAGACTTAAACAGACAAATCAAATCAGATTAAACAGACTATGTTGCCACCTGTGAAGCACAGACACTCTCAGCGGCTCACTTTTCCCTATTTCAGAAACTCAGAAGCGTGTTGGAAACTCGTAAACTTCAAATTCCCGTTTCGGGGCCGTTTCCGTAATTAAGAAGAATTGGGAAACCTGCTTTCATAAATAACTAGCGTTTCGGAAACCTTGGATTTCAATTTTTTTCTTTTTTTAAGAGATCCTATGATGGAAAATAGTGTCTTTAAAAAAAATAGTGATTTTTTTGTGTTATTTCTTCGTATCAACATTGTCGCATTTCATAACGCAATGCACCGCTACGAATGAATTGCATTTTATGTTTCTTTTTGCATTTTATGTTTAATTATGAAATAATGTCTAATGATTTCTAAAATTGAACATGTAGAATGTTTTTATTATTGGACTATTAAGCAAGTTATATGAAAATATCATGTGCATGTGTGTGTGTGTGTATATATATATATAAATGAAAAAATATTTACAAATATATCGTTATATTTTTTTATATTTACGCTTTTCCCCCACGTTTCGTATCCTATGTTTTCTAGAAATCATGTTTCTCGTGTTTCACGAATCTCGTTTCCCGTTACCTAGCTACACTTCCTATGTGGCAGTTCCAAGCAAGGTTTTAAATAGTGGTAGCAGTAGCGGTCATCACAGTAGCGGCCGTTGCGGCCGATGCGATGCGTGTAGCGGTCGCAGCGGCGTGAAATATTTTAATGTGTGCATAACATAGAATTAATGGATGAAAAGTTAATATGAACATTATGAATACTTGTTTGAACACTTATGTGTGAACAACAAATCAACCAATAAGAATACAACAACAACAACATCCAAGCCTTCGTCCTAAAAGATATTGGGGTCGGCTAACATGAATCGATACATGATATCATCACCAAAAGGAAAAGAAAGAAAATAAAGATAAAAAAGATAAGCTATTATAAAAAGATAATATAAAACGAGATGAATATACATAAAAATGATAAAATAAAAAGGATACAAGTAATGCTTATATATATAAGGATAAAAAACAAGGAAAAAAGACGAGGGAAAAAGATGATACGAGATCACTCCTCCACACGAATACCCTCCCTCCACTTAGCTCTCTCCAAAGTCATGCCCTCATCCAACACCAGAAGAAGCATATCACTTCGAACCCCTAACCCACGTCGGTTTGGGTCTTCCTCTCTCTTCTCTGCCTCTTCTCCACACATCTCAACTCGTCTAACAGGTGCATCACTCGATCTTCTACGCACATGACCAAACCACCGTAGGCGTGACTCGCGCATCTTGGCTTCGATAGGTGCTACTTCCACCCTTTGTCTGATTGTCTCATTCATCACGCGGTCCTTCCTAGTATGCCCACACATCCAACGCAGCATGCGCATCTCTGCCACACTCGTCTTTGGTGGGCCTTTACTAGGAAAAAACTAGGAGGAATGCGGTCCTTCCTAGTATGCCCACACATCCAAATCAACCAATAAGAATATGACGATTAAAAGAGTAATGATTATAAAGATTGCTAAACTAAATAAATAATACAAACACAATTAAAAATGTCTTCAAACTAAACAAGTCTTAACACATTCTTAAATTAAATAGATTCTTACATTAAATGACACGTTACAAACACAACTCAACATGTACTGAAATGATATAATGTGTTTCAATCTGTTCCTCATCTTCGTGTGTATATAGCTAAATGTGCTCCAATTCCTCTCACAATTTATTCCTCGTCATCCTTATTAATAATTAATTCGGTTTTAATAATTAAAATTTACATATTTAGAAACTACATTAGAATCTCTAAAATTGCAAAATCCAAATTAAAATTTAATCAAGAACTGATATCCTATTTAAGTGATTGAAATGAGTCAGTTTGACCCCAAAAAATCAAATTTGCAATTCAATTTGGGATGGAGAGAGTAGCAATCAATATCAGTTAGCCCACATTTACAACATTTTTAGTGAGCATGCACATGCATTTACGTTGGAAAAGTTTGGTCCCATACCCCATACATGTACATTTAATTTAGGGTTTCACTCCATGCACCACCATTAATGTATTTCACATCATGCACAATACATTTACACATTTATACATCAACTAGTTCGTGATGCAGTGCCGGAGGTGCCGGTAGCGGCCTGTAGCGGCCGGTAGCGGTGCGTAGCGGACTGTAGCGGTAGCGTAGTGGTTACGTAGCGGATTTCGGTTTGATTTGAATTTGATACCACAATAGCGGCCCGTAGCGTTAGCGGAGGCTACCACGATGGCTATATAGCGGCCAATATAGCGGTAGGGGACCGCTATTTCAAACCATGGTTCCACGTCATAATAAGATCATGTGGAAATGACCATATAAGCTTTGAATATTTAATAGGTTTGTTATTGGTAAATTAAAATTTGAGTAACAATTTTAAAATGTACATGAAGTTAAACCAATAACCGGTGATTGACAGAATCAAGTCCTAGGAAATTCCAACTGGGTATTTGGATGAGGTTGAATTTATCTTATGAATGTTTTGTGCCGCGCCGCCACTACAATGCCCCTACAATGCGTTATCAATTTACGAACACCGCTAAATATGCTTGTCTTTTTAGTAACTGAGCTGATGTCTAGTATATCCTTTTTATTTCTTATATTTTAATTTTTTGACTTACACTTGAAAAATTGTTTATTTGTTTTCCACTATTTTCCTTTCAATCTAATCTTACACCTACAACAGGTCTGGAGATTCGACAGCACGAATTTGGACAATTGGAGATGGACCTTGCAGTTCTAGAATACCGGGTGAACCAATAAATGTCGCTTTACTGAAGCATTTCAAAGGCCGTATAAATGAGAAAAGCAAGGATGTTACAACACTTGATTGGAATGTGAGGCTAGCCTTTGCCTTTTTTTGCTGTCATCTTTACTAGTTTTGTATATCAGGCTACATAATTTGTGATATTTTTTTGCATGTCTTCTTTGCAGGGTGATGGTACATTACTGGCTACAGGTTCTTATGATGGTCAGGCAAGAATTTGGAACAGAGATGGTAAGCTCTCTACTCAGATATTTGTGATGTGGATTGTGGAAATGGTAGACTATTTGTATGGACAGCTCCTATTAATAAAATAAACTGAAAAGTTTAGTGCATCTTTTATGCTCACTGAGTAGTTGAGGAATAAGCCTTTTCAATTCAAATCTGTTTGCCATTCTTTTGCTATTTCGTTGATCCTTATTTGTTTCCTTCGCCCTCTCTTGTGGTTGACAGCAGGTTTCATTTAAAAGCAATTTGTTTTTTTAATAATATTTTACCTATGTGGTTCTGGTACAATAATTATGTAAAAAAAATCTTTGTTCAGGCGAATTGATGAGTACATTGACCAAGCACAAAGGGCCAATCTTCTCCTTGAAATGGAACAAAAAGGGTGATTATCTTCTAAGTGGTAGTGTGGATAAAACTGCCATTGTGTGGGACATGAAGGCTGGGGAATGGAAGCAACAATTTGAATTTCACTCAGGTGGTTCCCTTTCGTTTTCTGTGATGCTCTTTTACCTTTCCCTTGTCTATAACAGGCTGCCTTGTATTATACATAGCTATAAAGTATATTAATCATAATCCCTACTACAGCACCTGCACTTGATGTTGATTGGCGAAACAATACCTCATTTGCGACTTGCTCCACTGACACCATGATATATTTCTGCAAAATTGGGGATAACAAACCGGTTAAAACTTTCTCAGGGCATCAGGTTCATATGGCACTTTTATCTCTCTCTGTCTCTACGACCCCGTTTGGGAGCCTGTCTTTTTTGGCTTAGAAGCTTTGTCATCCATTTTTTCACCACCACTGCGCTGGCTGAATTGGTTAACAATGAACAAAAATGTTGCATAAGTTAGTCTTTTGGCTGAAGTGGATGAAATGATACTTTTAGCACTACTTTTTTGGAATTTATTTCTTTATTCTATATAAATAGTCCCTCTGTTTTGTCACGGTAGTTTTTTTCACGGAGATTAAGAAATGAAAGAGGATGAAAATGTAGAAAAGTAGGAAATAGAATATGAAAAAGTAAGATAGAAGTTGCCAAAAGAGGAAATGCGATGAGCAATAGAAAAGGAATACTACAGCATTACCCCAGTGCCGCAAAGGTTCCAACCTATGGTTGGGTAAGGGGGGTTGAATGTTCGCAGACAGCTTGTGGATGACGCATGATGAAAATTGCATCGAAAATTGCATGGACTCACTGCTCCTTAATAACAAAGAAGTGCAAACAGTTTAGTGAGCCATTTTGCTTTATTCCATCATATTTCCAAGCCAAAAAATAGGGAGTCTTTTTGGCTCCATTGGAAATGACGGAAAACAATAGAAAAGGAATAACGGGTCTGTGTGACTGTGTATGTGGGCATATTTCTAAATCAATTCACTAGAGCCAGCCAATTCAGCAATTTCAAATGATAGAACGTTTTTAACCGTTGTCCATCAATTTTAAGCTTTATCACATAGGCTCTTGATTTCTCAGGAGTGTTTCTCCTTGGTACATAATGGTGCGCAATGATAACCCCACTCCCATCCTCTGCAGGTATAGTAAAATAAAATAAAATGAAATGAAATTAGAGAACAATAATCATCAAGAACAAAATGAATTGGGACCTTATTTTATTAATGCATTTTCATCATTGTACAAAAATACATTTGACTTCAACAAGTACTAGGCAACACATTAAATGAATTTTAAAGTGGTCCTATGCTCCTATGATTTTTTTTTTCATACAAGGACCTTGCATAATAAAAAAATTTGAAATGTGTAACGCTATCATATACTAACTTTATTTGGCAACATGCTCACTTTGAGCTTATCTTCACCATAGGGTGAAGTTAACGCTATCAAGTGGGACCCATCTGGTTCCTTGCTGGCTTCGTGTTCAGATGATTCCACAGCCAAGGTACTTTGACTATTCCTCTTAGCTGATTTATTTATAAGGAGCCTGGCAAGACCTACTTGCCACTGTTATTCTGGAATACTGTTCAGCATGTAAAAGATGTTGTTGATGCAGATATGGAGCTTAAAGCAGGACGCCTGTGTGCAGGATTTAAGGGAACATACCAAGGTATGCCTTGTCTTTTGGGCTATTTAGTTTCATTTATAAAGTAACATGTGTTTCCTTTTTATTGCTTACTTGTATTGAATTGTAGATTCAAGTCTTTGAGTCGATTACTTTTAAGTTTACAGGAGATATACACAATTAGATGGAGTCCATCAGGTCCAGGTACAAACAATCCTAACCAGCAGTTGATGCTAGCAAGGTAATTAAATTTCTTTTTATGATTCAATGAGATTTTTCCCTCTCTCTCCCCCTCTCCCTCTCTCTCTCACACACACACACAAACCAAATCCCTCTCTTAGAAGGGTATGTAATATGCTCTTAGCTTCCAGTACGCCGCCTTTACTAATATGTGTCATAAAAATCGTGAATGCTTGTTTGTTATATTCAGTGAATTACTTTGGCAACAACCTCTAGGCTTTATGTTAGATCCTTAAAAATTCTGGCGAAATGAAAAGAGCCTAGAAAAACAAACAACAACATTACCCTAGTGCCGCAAAGACTTTCACTTACGGTGGGGTAAGGTGGTTCTGATGTACGTAGTCACCCCTGTACTAAAGCATAGAGAGATTCTCCATGTTTGTAAATAGCAAAGTTAAATAAAAATTGTTTAATATTTTCAAAATTTGTTTGTGTTTGCAAGTCTTATCATAGAAATAAATTAAAAAAAATGAGTAGGTAAATATCAAAAGTAAATTTTCCATGTTTTGACCAATGTTTAATTCTCGCAACATTTCCTTTCCTTCCAAATTTCCTCTAAATTTTGTCCACATTTTCTTCCTTTAGCATTTCTAAGCTTCAAACACACCCTTAATATTGAGAGATGCATCAATAGTTTTAGAGAATGGCATTGAAACTTATTACATTTATTTTTTTTATTGTGTAGTGCCTCTTTTGACTCATCCATAAAGCTATGGGATGTTGAATTAGGGCGTGTTATCCACAGCTTGAATGGCCACAGGTATTTTTGGCTGTTTCAATTCTTGAATTAATAACTCGGCCGAGCAGGATCGGTTGGGTGGTTCCCCTTCCCCATTCTTCTCAAGCAATCCAAGTTCTGACCATGTTGAAGGCACCAACACCCCAGGCCTCTTGATAGGTCTTACATAGTGTGATGGTGTGACTGTCTCACTTACAACAATATACTACTGTTTCTCATTTGATTGATCTTGTTGTGGGCAGAAGTGTACATGATTGTACTAGGAACAGGGGCGTAGTTAGGGGAGGGCCAGCCCTGGCCCTGGCCCAGTCCAAATTTAAAAAATGTCTAAATTTTTAGTGTAAAAAATTCTGTGTGATTTTTTTTTCAAAAATATTCTTTGTACCGACCCAGTCCGGCCTAGTGTCCTAGCTCCGCCCCTGACTAGGAAAGACCTGGTGGGTAGTGTCCCGTTATATTACTCTGCCGAGTTAAAGGGGCAAGGCCGGTGGGGGCTCTCGGGTTTAGGGGGCATTTTGAAAAATAACGTGCGCTATTCTATTTAAAAAAACAGGGAGCCTGTTTATTCGGTGGCATTTAGCCCAAGCGGTGAGTACTTGGCCAGTGGGTCCCTAGACAAATCCCTGATTATATGGTCGGTGAAGGAAGCTAAGATTGTGAAGACCTACACTGGAAATGGGGGTATTTTTGAAGTTTGTTGGGACAAAGAGGGAAAGAGGGTTGCTGCATGCTTCTCAAACAATCTGGTTTGTGTCTTGGACTTCCGCATGTTGTAGGATATGTACCCTGTTCATACATGGGGAATGCGATTCCTATTTGGGTGACCGTTCGACAAAACATGGTTGCATATAGAATTGTAACAGTTTCATCAACACTCTTTTACCATTTGGCTTTTAGAATTACAATTGTAATGTGGGTTGGAATCATTAATAGTGGTAGTTCCAGTTCTAGTCTTCTAGACCGACTGTTCTTCTAGACCGGGTTTGTTATTGATCTGGATTTGGTCCGGTTATAGATCCGGTTTTGAATGAGAAAATAATCAAATATTCGTGGGGGTGGGAGCCAAATTAAAAACCGATTGGTTAGGTTCTAATTTGGAGGAATTGGAATAAGATCAACATAAAGTTTGGTGTCTGTTGGTTTCGTCTTGAGGTGGTGTAAAAATGAGTTTCAGAAACATTATTAGTTCTTAGTGGCATACAACATGAGTCCATCTGAATCTCAGACCGAATGAATAATATTTATCACGTGAAGTTGGAATTTTAATCTGTATATTGCACTAGTGCTAGGATCTCCAACTAGTCATGTGATTCGTATTTCCCGAAACCTTTCAAGTTTCAAATAATATAAAATCCAATGGTAATGGTTAAAGTATCAACATGAATTGTAAATGGGGAATTATGTAAAACTCGTAATACATGAAGACCTATATCACTATATGCAAGTTACTGAGTATGAAAGTTGTTAGACCGTTACTCAAAAAAATTAAGAGAGGATTCTCTAAATAGTATTAAAAGAAGATAGAATTGCAAAAATAGGACATAATGTTTTAAATTCCCTTAATAGGACTATTTATTTGTATTTGGACAAAAAGACCCTTCTTAATTGCTACTGGATCGATTCGTTGGATGCGATCAATGTTGCTAGCGATCGATGGATGTCTCTACGACCCAAGTAAGTTTCTTCATCGTTTTCTTTTGCTCCTCCCTTTGCCGCTGTCGTTGCTCCACCATGAGAGGTCACCTCCTTTACTCTTGTTCTTCTTGTTCTTCTTCTTTTCTTTTTTTGTCTTCTCCTTCCCATCCTCTTCAAATCTGGGTCCTCTGTTTTCTTCTTCTTTAGATTTTCAGAAAATGACACTTTTTGAATAAGAGAATATCATAATTATTCGGTATTTTTAAAACAATGTCAATTTTATGTCATTACAATTTTTGAAAATGCCATATTGAGAATGACGTTTCTGTACGAAATTGTCATGACATTTTTGAAACAAAAATGACATCTCATATTTTTTGTGCAAGTCAACTTTAGCCAAATTTTATGGGATGGAAGAAGTATTACATATAAACATCGTAACACCCCAACTTTTAACTTGTGGTAATGACTTTGCAAACACCTAACATTAAAAAATAATGCATATTTTTTCTCAAATTTAAAATTGGTCATTTCAAAACATTTTGTCGCTTTCCGTTTTAAGAAAAGAGAATTTTGAAAATGACATATCTACCCTTTGTCACATATTCATAAAAATACTTTGCGACGTCTTCATAAAAATAATGAAATGTGGGGTTGGAAGGAATTGAATCGGGACTAAATGACATAAATAGAACTGCACTCTAATCCCTTTACCTTTGTCTCTTTGAAAAAGTTTAACTGCCTTTGAATGCTGATCGTGAAAAGTTTCAGCTCTACTGCCAGTAATCTCAGAGTACTTCTATAAATGAGAATGTGATTTATCTTTTCAATGTCAACTTATATTCTCTTTCTCCTAACATTTCCCTTCCACTTAGGTAAGATATCAATATCTTCTCCTGCGCTCATTTGTTTTATTGCTTTCTACCATGTTCTCAAAGTGTGCAATTGGAGACACCAAACTTATTGACCACTGCTTTTATTATGCATCCCTTAAGCTTCCCCGTTTAGTGCCTTTGACAAAAGTTATCTCCACAACTCTTATTCTATCAATTTCACCTAAGACATTATTTTTTCTTTTGTTTTGGATGTGTAAACTGATTATTTATGTTTGATGTCTTTCATCAGGGATCATATCGGGTTCTATCTCTCTGTTTGTTGGAGATGGATTGATATATAAATGCAACTACAGACATGGAGATGGAGATTTTGGAAGAGCATTTAAATCCATATACCAAGTTCAAGATGAGTAGTTAGCAGTAGTAATTGTGTATTATGATATACTCCCTCCATCCCCAATTACTTTTGTACTTATTTAAACAATTACTTTTTGTTTATTCTTGTCCAGTAAAACCTACAATTTTCCTTTTGTTATTACTTGTGCAAGTTAACTGTGACAATATAATTGGGTGAAGGGAGTATATTATAAAAACATTACATACTATCAAAAAATAAAACTATAACACACTACACTAGATTAAATTCAATTAAATTAAATCAAATAAAAAACAAACAAGTAGATACTAAATAATATTTTTAGACCAAATTAACAAATATCAATCTAAAAGAACATCAACTCAAATTAAAACTAAAAGCGAGATCCCTATGTGTAGGGTAGTCATTCTCTAGTTTTGGTCAAACCAAATTGAACAAAACTAATCTGAATAGAATCATAATTGTGTAGAATTTAATGTTAGATTTGATAATACTTAGAGAATTCACTAAGTAGGACTAAAAAAAGGTAGAATTTCAAAAATAGGATCACTATATTTTATTGGACACAAATATGATTAAAAAGGGCTAATCTAACAAAACTACCCTTAATGAGAAAGATTAAAAGTTCACATGAGGTGTGCGTTGATTCCTTGTGCGCAGGTGTGCGTTGATTCCAAGCCTCCACAGTTCAGAGTCGACACCTCCATAAATGGGGCTCTGCCACCCTCCATCAAGTCTGACACCACTGCCACACCGCCCCTCAGCGAGTACGCTATCATCATTCTCCAATAAAGATCTGCCCTTCAGTGACTCTGTGCAGACCTCCATGAGGAATGCCACTTGATATGCGAGAATGCCGCTTAATATGCATAATGACACAATAATGACAATTTTGTATAGAAACATAACATTCAGAATATGGCATTTTCAAATATTGTAATGACATAAAAGTGACAAAGGATCTGCCCTCTAGTGACTATGTGCAGACCTCCATGAGGAATGCCACTTGATATGCGAGAATGCCATAAAATGCCATAAGAATGACATTTTCATATGGACATATGACATTTTCATATTGTCATCCTGATAAATATATTACCACAATCTAGTGTTGGACTCGGTTCGGCCCACCCGGCCCGGGAACCGGCCTGGCCCGCTACTGTACAGGACCGGCCCAACCCGGTTCTTCGGGCCCAAAACCGATCTATGGCCCAGTTATAGAAGATGAGCGGGGCAGGCTCGGGTCGGTAAAAAGGAGGCCCGGCCGGGCCCGGACCCGGTTCGGGCCAAATTGATTTTTTTTTTGTTTTTTTCATTTTTTGGGCTCCACCCGGGTTGGGCTTGATGTTTAGGAGGGATTTGGGGGTGGGGGTGAGGGAGGGGTCAGGGATAGGTAGGTAATCAAACAAAAAAATTACCCAAGCCCGAGGCCCCGCCCGACCCGGACCCGGTGGCTACCCGGGCCGGTCCCGGGTCCACCTACTCTGAACCGCCGGCCCCCCAGGCCTAGACCCGACCCGGACCCGACCCGAATCCATCCCTACCACAATCGTGATAATTTTTTCAAATAATCAATAATCTTGACATTCTCATATTATAAAAGTGGCATTTTTGAAAATAATCAAAACTTACAAATTAATAAAAAAATCAAATTCAAATGTTACAGCCTTACAGGTGATTAGTGATCCGTTGAAACTTAGCTCCTAATTTCATATTTTTAGATCCCAGTTTAATCCAGAATCTTAAAAGTTCACAAATTAGAAGAAAAAAACCAGAAAAAAGAGGCTCACGAAGAAGAACAAGAGAAAGAAGATGAAGAGGAGAAGGATGTTGAGAAAGAAAAAAGAAGAAGAAGAAAAAGAAGATGATGAAGATGATGATGAAGAAGAAGGAGATTACCTGGGAAATTGCAGAAGAAGAGATGCCCTGCTATGGAACTTTTCCGGTGTGAACAAAGGATCGCGGGCATGGTGGTTCTAGCGTGGGTGATGAGTGCAGCTACGGAGATTCAATTCTGTCGTCCATGAGAGGAAGGATCGCAACGTGCTCTTGAGAAATCGCCGATGAATTGCAGAAGGCAGAGAGGTGAGTTTAATTGAATGAGGGGTAAAAGTGTAATCTTTAGTCCTATTTAGAGAAAAATAAACTTGTAATCCTATTTTGTAATTTAAGCATCATTTTAGTCCCATTTAGGACAATTACTTTATATCAAAAATAAGGAGAGAAAATGTGCTAGGTCACCATGGTGGGGAGAAAATGTGCTAGGTTAGGCTGCTCACAACCTAGGAGTGAAAAGGCCATTCCTAAGCTATTCACCCCAAAAAACCCTGCAACCCATTGTATTGGCAAGTGCTATAGTGGATTCATGGCACCCGTTGCGTGGGAATTAGCAATTCTTTATTTTTGCATTTACCAATGCACACGTTTAACCATTAATATATTTTCATTCCGTATTAGTAAAAAAATTCAGATTTTGAAAATTTAGAATGGAGGAAAAACAACAGTAATTTAAATTTTTTTAATTTATAATACATTAATAAATAAAATGTAGTTGAAGTAGGATATCTGAATAGTATAAAATTCATCAATGTTGCAACCTAAAAAGAATTGCGGTAACTAACTAAATAAGTGCAACAATCCACTTTTACATTTGTTGATGCACAACTTTGACCACTAATATATATATAATTCTTGTTGGGAATATTTTATGGTGTCCAATCTAATTAAATATCTTTGTATTTGTGTAGTTATTAATTAAATGTGTAATATGGGCCACAAATGTATTTCAGCCCATTAGCTTCCTTGTAACCCGTAAGTTAGACATCCTCTCCTATAAAAGGAGGCTAACTTACGGGAACCCTAAGTAACGATTTAGGCTTGAGAGTGCATAGAGGCAAGATAGAGATATTAGGTTTCCGAGATCTGAGAAACGAGATCTTTGAAGAAAGAAACTTGCAGATGTCGAAAAAGAAGATATACTACTTTCAGAACTGTTTTCAAAATTTCAAAACTCGAATTTTTCATTTTGAAAGATTTCGAAATTTTGAAAAGATTTCGATGTTTTAAAAGATCTCGAGATTCTGGCTTTTCAGTGACAGGAAAGATTTCGAAGTTTTGAAGATTTCGAGATTTTTGGAGTTTTTGATGTTTAGAATCTTTCAAAGTTTGGAGTTTCTTAAATCTCAGATATTTTTGAAGCTTGACATTCTTCGCAGTTCATCGAAGCTTTATATTATATGATTTTTTTATCTCTGCTTTTCAAAGTTTTAAAAGATTTCGATGTTCTGATGTTTTACAAAGACAGAGTTTTCGATTTCTGAGATTTTAGTTTTTCCAATGTTTTCGAGGTTCTAAAAAATCTGAAACTCTAAAGATTTCGAAGTCTCGAGGTGTTGTTTTTGCAGGTGTATTTCGACGTTCTTCTAAGGGTTAAACTCGAGATTTTAATCTCGAAGTTTAAACCTCAAGATTGTAATCTCGAGATTTAAACCTCGAGATTGTAATCTCGAGATTTAAACCTCGAGATTTAAACCTAGAGATCGTAATCTCGAAGTTTAAACCTCGAGACTACGATTTCGAGGTATTGCCTTAGAATTTTCCTCAATCCCACCTGTTCTTGATATTCAACATCAAGAACCTCAACTTCGAAAAAATTCCTCAAAAAACTCAAAATTTGGAGATTTTCTGCGACACCGCAATGTTTTGGCCATTACTTTTGACTCGGTGATCCGATTAAAGCGAATCTTTTTTTGTTGGAAATCTTTTGGCCGTTATCTCACACGCGGTTCTTGAGGGCTAAACCGTTAGTTTTCCGAGAAACTTTGTAAATCACCGATGTCAAGGTCAAAATTTAGGCAAATCTGTTCAAATTCTTCCAAAGTTTAACCTAAGGTCAAAACTTCACTGTAGAGGTCCGAAAATAGTAGATAATTCAATCAACCTCGCGTCAACGGTCATCTTACAACAATCAACAATCTACCACTGAAGCCTCCCCTAACTCATCAACATTGTGTGATCCTCAAACATGCTGAAATTCCAAATGATGAGCTTAGGGAAACCGTCACGTGTGGTACTTGTTCAGATTGCTCCATACACATGGTGGATATGAAGAGCTGTGATCAATCAAACCTTGCACATTCTGAGGGGGAGTTTCAGTTGTCTCCTCCTAGCGCCTTACACCGACAATGCAAGGAATCTCTCAACGGATGCAATATTTTAGGGGGAGTGTTCAATGTTATCCTCCCCGGTGCCTAACAATGACAAAGCATACCGAGTGCTCCAGTTGAGAGGGAGTACGGAGAGAAAATCAATGAGTGAACATGTTCCTATGGCTTAGTAAACCCAACTAAGCCTACCCAAGGGACAAAGCCGAGAGTAAACGAGTGAGTGAGTAATCATTATGAGAGTTAGGAAGCAGAAGGCTCAAGTGAGCAAGAAAACAATAATCAATGATGAGTCTGCTACCTCAACTGCCTGCTATGAATTGAACATTTACTCCTAACCACTCAAATACTCTGGACAATTCCCAAATAGGTTCAGGACTGATTTAATGAGATCCTGGGTAGAAGTCACTGCATCTTGTCCAACAGTGTATGTTTAACCCTACCCAAGACAGTCACTTATCTCCCAACATACAGACGTTTAATCATACTTCACGGGGAACCGCATCTCTCATTACTATCTCCTTCCGAGGCAAGTGATACTGACTACAGTGGCCTCAGCCCCATGCTACTTAAGTTTCATTGATCACGTCACTCGTGTCTAGTTATTCACTCCCAAATGTTTTGAAATTTTCTAGGACACAGATGCACTTTTAGAGTCAGTTGTTGGTTTTCATGACCTGCGATAACTTTCATAGGGCTCATCTATTACAGATGTAGACCAATGATTGGAAGGAAGTCCTGTTGTTGCAACATAAGAATCACCAACATTTTCAGGCCATCACTTCAGAGTTTATCTCTATAGTGATGATAACGGGCATCTGCATGACCCCGGGGGGCTACTTTGCTGACCTTTATGGTCATGCCATAACAACCAGAGTGACATCTTTTCGGATGCTTCACAATGACTGGTTGGAAGTCCTATTAGAGCTTAATAATGCTTCTATCATTATATACAGGCCACACATCGATGTTTACATTGATGTTGTGATAACGGGACACCATGGTGTCTCCGGTGTTTACCTTTTTGTTTTTTCCTATTTTGTTTCACAAAATAAAAGAATAAAGGCATGACGTCCAGATTCATCGGATCGTCATGAGGGGGAGAGTGGTCCGCATGCTGTTTACTCTCAAAAATCATTCTCGGATTCTTCTCCTCCAACACAAAAAACGACGACTCTCTACTCTCTCAAATCATCAAAATTGCCAAGTCAGCTTCACATCAAATGGCCAGATGCGCTCACAAGTCAATCATCATTTTCCGCTGTGCAACCGACTGGCTCTCCTCAAAAGCATTCATTTCAAATAGTCAAAAAGACTACATTGTGGAGGGGACAAATGTCAGACTACGAAGATGAATCCCTTGCGTGCCTGTAAATCATCGGAATATTCATTCTAGAGGCACCTTCAGACTTTATTCAAGCTGATCAGGAGCTACTTCTGGAAGGCAAGGATTACAAGCAAGATTTTCAAGATTCCTCAACCCCCGACATCAAAGGGGAGATTGCAAGGATTTCTTCAGAAAATCTTCTTAAGAAGTCGAGTTCAACACGAAGAAAAAGGAAGTTGAGCTGCACTGAAGATCAAGACAAAAGAGGAGTAACTCAACAACATATTTTATCGACGCTCTCCTCTACATTGCTGAATAAACACAAAGACAAAGATATCCGCGCTGCAATGCTGGTTGAACACGATTGAACACCAAGGGGTTGATTGTTGGGAATATTTTATGGTGTCCAATCTAATTAAATATCTTTGTATTTGTGTAGTTATAATTAAATGTGTAATATGGGCTACAAATGTATTTCAGTCCATTAGCCCACTTGTAAGCCTTAAGTTAGACATCCTTATGTATAAAAGGATGCTAACTTAAGCAAGCCCTAACTCTCACAACTCTCACATAAGCCATTCACGCACATCTTAGAGAGAAGGCAGAAAAACGCCGTTCATACCCTATTTTGTATTTCGACATCTTTATTGGTATTGAATCGGATCATCGTTTCTTCTGTACTTGATATATTGTTTGTATGATTGTTGGATGATATTGGGATCAACAATTCTCCATTAGTAAATAAATTAATTTATTAATATATTGATAAATAAATTATAGTCAAAGTAGAAAATTTAAATAATGTAAAATTGTATGGAATATTTAAGAACACACTTATTCTTTTTTGTGACCAAAATAACACACTTATTTAAGAATTGAGGTTACCCATGATAAGAGAATATTACCTGAAATAGGACTAAAACAGTTTAAAAATTCCAAAATAGGACTGTCATGTTTTTATTCCCAAAATAGGACTAATTACTGTCATGTTTTGGCAGTACCAGAGTTCAAACGTGACAGTATTTTCTAAACTTGACAGTAATTACTCCTATTTTGGAAATAAAAAACATAACAGTTCTATTTTGGAATTTTAAAGTATTTTAGTATTCTCAACTTTTTAACGGGAACTTTTTAAAGAATGGAGGTCACCCAGTTAGTATTACTCTCGGCATAGGCTCGCGCCTGTCCAGCTCTAACTTCTAAGTGGCGCGGCTGGCGCCCAAGTCATACTTAAGCTTCCGAACGCGTATATTTTCATATGATTTCCTTCACTTTGCTTGTTAAATACTTCAAAAGCTTCCTTCATACGATTTCCCTCTTTCGATTTCATTCTTAAGCTTCCGAACGCGTATATCATTCATATGATTTCCTTCACTGTGCTTGTTAACTCGCGAAGTAGAGCCTGAACCTATGGAGATTGGCACAAGCTTAACATCCTTATCATGCGAAGCCCCAAGTTCTGGTATCATTGTATTGAAAGGGCATACATCTGAGGTTTAATTGTATACTGTGATTGTTTTCTTTTTTCATTTTGAGATACCGGAGTTTATGTGCTCAAAGTGAAAATGTTTGCTTGATTATGTGGCAGGTTTTTGCATGTTCTTGGAGTCCATCAGGTTCACTTCTTGCGTCTGGGTGGGCACGTGGCCTTGAACATTACCTGGTTTAAATTTATATATTATGATGTTGTGGATTTACATTTATTTTATCATCACCTCTAGCTAGTTATATCACTGTCACGAGCCATGGTAAATATGTTTTGAGTGGGTAGGATAGTAGGGATGTTTTAAATTGGACTGATTTCAGTTTAGGTCAGACCTAAATCAGACAAGACCATACTTCTACAATTGTAAAATACACCCTAAACATCCTTCTACCACACCACAACAAATCAGACTACATTAGAAAATTTCAATCCAATTAAAAACATTCTAAGGTCATTGATCAACTCGGCCTCGACTTGTATTTGATATGCTGAGAGCATCAGAGCATGGTTACTTTTGTGGATCAGAACAGGATCATATTATCATCTTGAAAGGTTGATGAACCCTTTTGGATTTGTCATGTTAGGTGATTACTATATTTTTTCTTCATCACAGGTACGAGGGGATGTTGTTTAGGGATAATGAGTGAAAATTTGAATAAATGTTCATAGTAAAAGGAGATTTGCCTTTTCCTTCACTATTTTTATTTACCCTTGAATAAGGTTGGTCATTGGTCAAGACATGTAGGCCTTTGTGCTATGTTATTTTGTTGATTGAATCTTTGTTAGGGTTCTGGGACTGGGAACAGGTTCTGGGACGACTTGGGGTAACAGGGTACCCGGTTGAGGTGGTAACCTGCCTGCTAGGGTTACTCCTCTTCTTGCCCGTGGCTAGAAGAGCGCAGTAAGAGCGCAGGGGAATGGGGGAAGTCCGTGACTTCTCTCTGGGATTAATTCTTCTAATGATCGATGATTTTATTAAGGCTGAAAAAAGGAATATAAATAGGCATCCTGCCTTTACATGATAGAGTTCTAATCTAACCGAAACTATAACATCTAATACTTCTATTTCTAATAGGAGTTCTAATCTAATAGAAACGGTAACCTCTAATACTTCTATTCCTAATAGGAAGTAATAAATAAAATATAAAAATAGCATCACGATAATTTCCCTCTTCTAATTAAACTTCCCACTGGTTCCATAAAAATGCATCCGTAACATCACTTCCTCCCTCGAAACTGAGCTTGTCCCCAAACGCATATCCTGGATAAGCAATGATAAAAGTGTCAAACGGTTCCCGAGTGGCCTTGTCTGGTGTGCTGTCTTGCCATTGAACTAATAGTCCCCACTTAGAGCGTCGGCAGACAACTCCAAGTCTGGGAAGCCATCATCTTCTTCCTGCTGATCTTCTATCTCGATCAAGAAATGCTTTTTGTATCGGTGATTCATCGTCCACTGTTCATCACAATTATAACATAGCCCTTTTGCTCGTCTTTCTGCCATTTCATCCTTCGAAAGTCGCTTAATAATGGGATTTCCTGCCTTTGTTGTCACAAGCGCTTGTCTAAGCTGTGGTGGGCTGTGTTGTTTCATATTTATCGTAGTACCGAGACATTTACAGGTGCAAGCGTCAGTGTTTGCCTTGCTTCCAATGTCCATGCAAGGTTCATTGCGTAACCCAAGTTGCCTGGTTTTGCTATCTCCACATCAGCCCGTAAGTGGGGATGGAGACCGGCGACAAACAAAGCAATCTGATGGGTGGACTGTATTTGTGAAGTTCTTGTTAAGGCCTTCTGAAATTGGGCACAATATTCATTAACTTATCCGATCTGCATCAGAAGTTTTTGATCTCCAATCGGGTCAGAACTCAAAGGGGGCCCAAAGCGCTCCAGGCAGAGTTCTTTAAACCTCTCCCAGTTGACTTCTCCTTCTTCCTCTATCATCTGATCGAACCACAGTTGTGCATCATCTATCAAGTGGAATGAGACCATATTCATCTTTGCAACACTAGAAGTTTCTTGGTTCAAGAAGAATTTTTCGCACCTTTTCAACCAACTGGTAGGGTTGTAGGTGCCATCAAACACAGGAAATTCCATCTTCGCATACTGTGGTTTCTAGGGATTCGAGGTGCTGTGTGATATCAGGCCGTTATCAGGTTGCTCTTCATGTGTTTCTGTTGATTTGGAATCTCATTTGTGGACTGCCAGAGATAGAGCGGCAATCTGCCCTTCTATGGCGGTTACCCTAGCAGTCATAACCTCCATAAACTCCTTCATCATGGTGGTTAAATCATCATTCTGTGGTGCCATGGATCTTGAAGTCTCTGATACCAAATTGTTAGGGTTCTGGGACTGGGAACGGGTCCAGGGACGACTTGGGGAATCAGGGTACCCGGTTGAGGTGGTAACCTGCCTGCTAGGGTTACTCCTCTTCTTGCCCGTGGCTAGAAGAGCGCAGTAAGAGCGCAGGGGAAGGGGGGAAGTCCGTGACTTCTCTCTGGGATTAATTCTTCTAATGATCGATGATTTTATTAAGGCTGAAAAAGGAATATAAATAGGCATCCTGCCTTTACATGATAGAGTTCTAATATAACCGAAACTATAACATCTAATACTTCTATTTCTAATAGGAGTTCTAATCTAATAGAAACGATAACCTCTAGTACTTCTATTCCTAATAGGAAGTAATAAATAAAATATAAAAATAGCATCAAGATAATTTTCCTCTTCTAATTAAACTCTTCTGATTAAACTTCCCACTGGTTCCATAAAAATGCATCCGTAACATCACTTCCTCCCTCGAAACTGAGCTTGTCCCCAAGCTCATATTCTGGATAAGCAATGATAAAAGTGTCAAACGGTTCCCAAGTGGCCTTGTTTGGTGTGCTGCCTTGCCATTGAACTAATAGTCCCCACTTAGAGCGTTGGCAGACAACTCCAAGTCTGGGAAGCCATCATCTTCTTCCTGCTCATCTTCTATCTCGATCAAGAAAAGCTTTTTGCATCGGTGATTCATCGTCCACTGTTCATCACAATTACAACATAGCCCTTTTGCTCGTCTTTCTGCCATTTCATCCTTCGAAAGTCGCTTAACAATGAGATTTCCTGCCTTTGTTGTCACAAGCGCTTGTCTAAGCTGTGGCGGGCTGTGTTGTTTCATATTTGTCGTAGTACCCGAGACATTTACAGGTGCAAGTGTCAGTGTTTACCTTGCTTCCAATGTCCGTGCAAGGTTCATTGCGTAACCCAAGTTGCCTGGTTTTGCTATCTCCACATCAGCCCGTAAGTGGGGATGGAGACCGGCGACAAACAAAGCAATATGATGGGTGGACTGTATTTGTGAAGTTCTTGCTAAGGCCTTCTGAAATTGGGCACAATATTCATTAACTGATCCGATCTGCATCAGAAGTTTTAGATCTCCAATCGGGTTAGAACTCAAAGGGGGCCCAAAGCGCTCCAGGCAGAGTTCTTTAAACCTCTCCCAGTTGACTTCTCCTTCTTCCTCTATCATCTGATCGAACCACAGTTGTGCATCATCTATCAAGTGGAATGAGACCATATTCATCTTTGCAACACTAGGAGTTTCTTGGTTAAAGAATTTTTCGCACCTTTTCAACCAACTGGTAGGGTTGTAGGTGCCATCAAACATAGGAAATTCCATCTTCGCATACTGTGGTTTCCAGGGGTTCGAGCTGCTGTGTGATATCAGGTCGTTATCAGGTTGCTCTTCATGTGTTTCTGTTGATTTGGAATCTCGTTTTGTGGACTGCCAGAGATAGAGCGGCAATCTGCCCTTCTATGGCGGTTATCCTAGCAGTCATAGCCTCCATAAACTCCTTCATCATGGTGGTTAAATCATCATTCTGTGGCGCCATGGATCGTGAAGTCTCTGATACCAAATTGTTAGGGTCCTGGGACTGGGAACGGGTCCAGGGACGACTTGGGGTATCAGGGTACCCGATTGAGGTTGTAACCTGCCTGCTAGGGTTACTCCTCTTCTTCTCCGTGGCTAGAAGAGCGCAGTAAGAGCACAGGGGAAGGGGGGAAGTCCGTGACTTCTCTCTGGGATTAATTCTTCTAATGATCGATGATTTTATTAAGGCTGAAAAAAGGAAAATAAATAGGCATCCTGCCTTTACATGATAGAGTTCTAATCTAACAGAAGCTATAACATCTAATACTTCTATTTCTAATAGGAGTTCTAATCTAATAGAAACTGTAACCTTTGATACTTCTATTCCTAATAGGAAGTAATAAATAAAATATAAAAATAGCATCAGGATAATTTCCCTCTTCTAATTAAACTTCCCACTGGTTCCATAAGAATGCATCCGTAACAATCTTCTATTTGGATTTGCTTAATTTTCTCATATACTCATATACATAAGAAATCAGTGAACTTAAACCACATATTAAGCACCATTAGAGCTGCTGTTGCCACTGCTTATGTGGCAGTGCCATCTCCTAATAAGATGATGTTGAAATGACCATATAAGCATTTAATATTTTATAGGTTTGTTTTAAGTAAATTAATATTGAACAACAATTTTAAAATGTATATAAAGGAAAACCAATAACGGGTGAGTGACCAAAACAAGTCCCAGACAATTCCAACTGTGTATTTTGATGAGGTTGAATTTATGTAGTGAATGTTTCGTGCCGCAGCACCACTCCAATGCATTATCAATTCACAAACACAATTTGATGAGGTTGAAAATGCTTGTTTTTTAGTAACTTGGGTGATGTTTACTATTTCCTTTTCTATTTTTTATATTTTAATTGGTTGGCTACTTTTGAAATATCATTTTCCACTATTTTCAAGCCGTTGCGTCTGCTAGACAAGTTGAATGTGCTTCTTTGTGGGTTGGATGAGAGCCTAGCTTCAGAGAAAGGAAATTGGAGGATGAATACGTGTGTGGAGGATTGTCTCCTTTCATCTTTTTATTCTTTTACCTTCTTTATCTTTCTTATGTTCTTTATTCTTTTATCCTTTTTATTTTATATATATTCTCTTTATCCTTTTATATTATCATTTTTACCTCTATCCTATATTTATTGTTATCTTTATCTTATCTTGTATCGATTCATGTTAGTTGACCACAATATCTTTTGGGACTAAGGCTTGGATGTTGTTATTTTATTTTCAAGCTAATCTTACAACTAAAACAGGTCTGGAGATTCGACAGCACGAATTTGGACATTTCGAGATGGACCTTGGAGTTCTAGAATACTGAGTGCACCAATAAATGTTGCTTTACTGAAGCATTTCAAAGGTCGTATAAATCAGAAAAGCAATGATGTTTCAACACTTGATTGGAATGTGAGACTAGCTTTCGTTTTTTTTGCTGCTCATCTTTACCTGTTTTGTATCAGGCTAAATAATTTGTAATATTTTGCTGGCATGTCTTCTTTGCAGGGTGATGGTACATTACTGGCTACAGGTTGTTATGATGGTCAGGCAAGAATATGGAACAGAGATGGTAAACTCTCTACTCAGATATTTGTGATGTGGAATGTGGAATTTTTAGACTATTTCTGTGGTGAGAACTTCTATTAGTGAAATGCAATGAAAAACCTAGTGTTAATGTCATGACAAATCTCCACCTTTTTTGTTAATTAATAAAGCTTGAACTGCGTTTCTTAACTACCTTTATTAACCAAGGGTAGGAAGATACTAGTTCCAATCTAATAGAGGCATCATTTGATGGCATGCAGCATGCTTATCATATTCCATGGTTATCGGATAATAGTTTTTCAGTGTTTATTCTTTCAAAATTCTGTCTTTCTCACTCTTTTTTGCTTCAAATTAATAATGTTGTTTCATTCATCATTTTCATTTACGCCAGTGCCGCAAAGGCTCCCACCTACGGTGGGGTAAGGGGGGGTCGGATGTACGCAGTCTTACCCCTGCACTAAAGCACAGAGAGACTGTTTCCGGATGACCCATAGTGAAAATCGCGTCCAAAATTGCATGGACTGACTGATGCTTCATAACAAAGAAGCGCAGACATTTTAGTGAGCCATTTTGCTTTATTCCATCATAATCTCAAGCCAAAAAATAATGAATCTTTGGCTCCATTGCCAATGATGGAAAACAAATTAATAATGTTGTCAGTAAGCAAATTTAAAACGGAACTGCCTTTATTTGAAATAATATTTTTATGCTTACCTGAGTAGTTGGGGAATAAACTTTTTCAATTCAAATTCGTTTATCCATTCTTTTACCATTTCATTGATCCTTATTTGGTTTCCTTCTTTCTCTCTTGTGGTTGGCAAGAGGTTTCATTTAAAAGCAATTTGCTATTGTTAATTTTATTTTACCAATATGATTCTGGTATATATTTCGATTCATGTCATGTGATGTGACTAGTGATATTGTTGGTTGTCATGCGCCACAACACCCTCCTCCTTTATCTTGGATTGGGACAGACATTATACCAAAACTGATTTCATCATTTCATGTTAGAGGAACTCAAAATCTTTTGGGACTAAGGTTCTTGGATGTTGTTGTTGATGCTGGTACAATAATTGTGTAAAAACATTCTTTGTTCAGGCGAATTGATGAGTACATTGACCAAGCACAGAGGGCCAATCATCTCCTTGAAATGGAACAAAAAGGGTGATTATCTTCTAACTGGTAGTTTGGATAAAACTGTCATTGCGTGGGACATGAAGGCTGCGAAATGGAAGCAACAGTTTGAATTTCACTCAGGTGGTTCTCTTTCTTTCTCTGTGATTCTCTTTTACCTTTCCCTTGCTTATAACAGGCTACAATGTACTATATATATAGGTATGAAGTATAACAATCATAATCTCTACTACAGCACCTGCACATGACGTTGATTGGCGAAACACTACCTCATTTGCGACTTGCTCCGCTGATACCATGATATATTTCTGCGAAATTGGGGTTAACACACCAGTTAAAACTTTTTCAGGGCATCAGGTTTATTTGGCCTTTTAACTCTCTCTGTCTCTAGGACCCCGTTTGGGAGCTTTTAGTTTTTGGCTTATGAGGTTTATCATCCAGTATTTCACCACCACTGCACTGGCTAATTGGTTTTTAATGATAAAGTGGTGCACAAGTTAGTCTTTTGGCTGAAGTGGATGAAAACTATACTTTTAGAGTTTTAGCACTATTTTTGGAAATTGTTTCTTTACTCTTTTGAAATACTCCCTCTGTTTTTTTGTCCCTATACGTTTTTCATGGAGATTAAGAAATGAAAGAGAAGATGAAAAAGTAGAAAAAGTAGGAAATATAATATAAAAAAGTAAGAAAGAAGTTGCCAAAAGAGGAAATGTGATAACAATAGAAAAGGAATAATGGACAAAAAATGGAGGGAGTATCTGTGTGACAGTGTATATTTGTGCATATTTCTGAATCAGTTCACTTAGTTCTGAGAGGCGAGTGCTTTTTCACGCTTTTAGGCGCCTTTTGAGGTTCTGAGAGGCGAGCGCCTTTCACGCCTCAGTCTTCTCCTTCCTTTCGCCTTCTGCGTTTGGTTAGTCTTGCGTAGCTGTTTGAGTGTTCCGATTTTCTTTCGCTGCACAGAGGTAAGACTGTTTACGTTTTCTTTTATTCTCTTTTATTCTCTTTTGCGTAGCTCTTTTATTCTCTTTCGCTGCTCTTTTATATTCTTTTATTCTCTTTTCTTACGTTTTTTTTCTCTTTTGCTATTTGGCTGCTATCTCGCGTCGCAGAAGCTGTTTATCCCCTGCTATTTATTCTCTTTTATTTTAAGTTGTTATTTTTATAAAAATATTAAAATTATTTAAATAAAAAGTTAGATAACTGATACGTACTATTATCTTGCGCTATTTATAAGGTTTGATAGATAACTGCAAAAAAGTTATGTCTTTTAAGTTTGTAAGTTTTTTAAGTATTTTAAGTTTTTTAATTTATAAAATTATTTAAATTATTTAAATTTACAAATCTGTCTGTAATTAATTTTACAGAATTGTATTTGTGTTATAGTCTATTAATTACCTTATGGTTCTTGTATGCTGTGTATGAATTGAAGTAGTTTTGAGAAGAGTGCTTCATGTAGAAGTACTAAAAATATATTTCACCAAAGAAATGTGGCTGAGATCCGTGAGGCGCGTGCCTCACCGCCTAGCGCCTCGCGCCTCGGGTAAATCAAAGAAATCGCCTCAACGCGTCTCGTGCCTTTTAAAACTAAGGTTCACTAGACTCAGTCAATTCGGCAACTTCAGCAATTTCAAATGATTCAACATTTTAATTGTTTTTCATCAATTTTAAGCTTTATCAGACATGCTCTTCATTTCTCAGGAGTTTTTTTTTGTACATAATGGTGCAAAATAACAACCCTGCTCCCGTCATGTGCAGTTAAAGTAAAATAAAATTAGAGAATATTAATCTTTTATGAAATAGCGTAGGAGGAGTTGGGACCTTATTTTATTAATGCATTTTCGTCATTGTACAAAGAACCTTTGACTTCAGCATTCAGCAAGTACATAGGCCAAAAGTTAAATGAATTTTGAATTGGTCCTATGAGTTTTATTTATTGTATACAAGGCCCTCGCATAACAAGAAATTTGGAATTGTGTAACCCTATCATCTACTCATTTCATTTGTGAAAATACTTACTAAGAATTTATCTTTATCACAGGATGAAGTTAATGCTATCAAGTGGGACCCATCTGGTTCCTTGCTGGCTTCGTGTTCAGATGATTTCACAGCCAAAGTACTTTGACTATTCCCCTTAGCTGATTTATTTAAAAGGAATCTTCCAAGACCTACTTGCCACTGTAATTCTGGAATACTATTTAGCATGTAAAAAATGTTGATGATGCAGATATGGAGCTTGGAGCAGGACACATGTGTGCAGGATTTAAGGGAACATACTAAGGTATGCCTTGTCATTGGGTTTTTAGTTTCATTTACAAAGTTACATATGTTTCCCTTTTTATTGCCTACTTGTATAGAGTTATAGATTCAAGTCTGTGAGTCGATCACCTTTAAGTTTACAGGAGATATGCACAATTAGATGGAGTCCATCAGGCCCAGGTACAAACAACCCTAACCAGCAGTTGATGCTGGCAAGGTAATTACATTTCTCTATTGAATCAATGAGATCTCTCTTTCCCTCTCTCTCTCACACACACAAACCACCTCCTTCTCTCAGAAGAGTCTGGGATAAGCTCTTAGCTTCTAGTACTCTGCCCTTACTAATTTGTGTCATAATAATTGTTAATACTTGTTTGTTATATTCAGTGAATTACTTTGCCAACAACCTCTAGGCTATATGTTGGATCTTTAAAAAATTTGGCGAATTGAAAACAGCCTATTGAGAGTTATTTTAGTGTTCCTTGTTTTGTCTTGTTTGGGTTTGCAAGACATATCATAGAAATAAATTAATAAAATTCTCCGAGGTTTGACCAATGTTTTATTCTCGCCACATTTTCTTCCTTACCAAATTTCCTCTATATTTTGTCCATATTTTCTTTCCTGAGCATTTCCAAGCACTAAACAGACCCTTAATATTGAGAGAGGTATCAATAGTTTTGGAAAGGTGCGTTGAAACATATTACATTTACATTGTTTATTGTATAGTGCCTCTTTTGACTCAACCATAAAGCTATGGGATGTTGAATTAGGGCGTGCTATCCACACTTTGAATGGGCACAGGTATTTTTGGTTGTTTCAATTCTTGAATTAATAACTCTGCCAAGCAGGATTGGGTGGGTGGTTCCCCTTCCCCATTCTTCTCAAACAATCTATGTTCTGACCATGTTGATGGCACCGAGGCCCCTCCCAGCCCCCAGCCCCCAGGCCTCTTGATAGGTCTTACACAGTGTGATGGTGTGGCTGTCTCACGTACAACAACAATGTACTACTGTTTCCAATTTGATTGATCTTGTTGTGGGCAGAAGTGTACATGATATTACTACGAGAAACCTATAGTGGGTAGTGTCCCGCGATATTACCCTGTCGAATTAAAGGGGCAAAGCCGGTGGGGGCTCGGGTTTAGGGGGCTTTTTAAAAATATAACGTGCGCTATTCTATTTAAAAAACAGGGCTGCTGTTTATTCAGTGGCATTTAGCCCAAATGGTGAGTACCTGGCCAGTGGGTCCCTCGACAATTCCGTGATTATATGGTCTGTGAAGGAAGCTAAGATTGTGAAGACCTACACCGGGAGGGGTTGTATTTTTGAAGTTTGTTGGGACAAAGATGGAAAGTGGGTTGCTGCATGTTTCTCAAAAGATCTGGTTTGTGTCTTGGACGTCCGCAAGTTGTAGAAAATGTACTCAGTTCACACACGGGGAATGTGATTCCAATTTGGGTGATCATTGGTGAAAACATGGCCGCATATAGATTTGCAACGGTTTCATTAACAATATTAGATTAAATCTGATATTTTTTTGTTAAAAATTAGATTATACTCCCTCCGTCCTTTATAACTTTGCCAACTTTCCTTTTGTGTATGTCCCATTAACTTTGACACTTTCCCTTTTAAATAAAGAATTTGTGATTTCAGTTAATTCTCTATCCTCTGCACAAACCTCAATCACACAGCTTTTACTTTATTAATCTCCGTGTCGATGAAACTTGACAAAGTTATTAGAGACGGAGAGAGTATATAAAAAGTAATATTATTTAATTTCTAAGAAAAAGAATAAAGTAGTGACAAGTGGCATGTATTGAAGGGAGTGGGTGATATTCACCTTGGGAACAAAATAGAACTCAATTAGAGGAACGTAGGGATGAACCCGGTCCGGTTCTGGGTCGGGCCTGGGTGGGCTTTTTTTGCAAATCCTTGGGTCCAGAACCGGCCTGGGTTGATACTGGGTCCGGGCCTAACTGGGCCGGGCTGGGTCGGGCCCGGTTCAATGTCTATTTTTTTTTTGCTTTCTTGTTATCCCACGACCCCTCCCCCCCCCCCCCTCACCCCACCCCCCAAACCTTCCAAAACCTCCCAAGAAAAAAAATTGAAAAAACAAACAAAAAAAAATGACCCGGGCCTGGCCCGAACCGCCCAGACCGGTTCGTCCAAACCTGGGCCCGAGCCCGGCCCGCCCGACCCACCCAAACGGGCTAAAAGCTCGGAACCGGCCAACTGGTCCCGGTCCGGTCCGGGCCCGCACAGTAGCGGGCTGGACTGGACCGGTTCAGTCCATCCCTAGGGGTACCTGTCAGAGAGATATTTTTCTGGAAATGACAAAAAAAGGATAAATTACACCACATGAAGAGAATGTCTACTGAATTTAGTGTTAGTGTTACACGATGAAACCCCACAACCTATGAAGCACGGATACTTCCCTAGGGTAGCGTATCGGCGTATCGGATACGTTCCCGTATCCGATACTCTAGGATATCCGTACCGTACGTTCCCGGGCCATATCTGTAATTTTTAAAAGTTTCCATTTTTTTTTGTAGTTTTTTGAAAGTTTCCGATACTCGTATCCTGACGGATACCCGTATCAACTTTTTTGAATAAAAAAAACACAAAATATGAGGATCATGAATCTATTGCAAGCAGATATTACATGGAACCTAAGAAGTGGTGGACATGCTTTGGTTCTAATGCACCTTTTCTTCAAAAATTAGCTTTCAAAATACTAGGACAACCTACTTCATCATCATGCTCAGAAAGGAATTGAAGTTCTTATTCTTTTATTAATTCATTTAGAAGAAACAAACTGTTTCCAAAGCGAGCGGAGGATTTGGTATTTGTTCATAACAATCTTCATCTTTTATCACGAGCTTCTAAGCAGTATATATTTTTAAAATATTGTTTTCTATCTTAATTATTCTAGAACTTTGGTACTTGCACTTTTAATTTCAAGATTGTAGTTGTTTGACTTATTTCTCATTTTAAATTAATGACTTATCGACTACATGTCTACATTTATATTTCGAGATGCACTAATGTATATGAGAAATATTATGATGTATATTAATGATTGGGTATATATGTATATATAGGATATATATATCCAAAAAAATATTATTTTTGTATATTTCATAGGATATTATATGTATATATTTCCAAAAAAATCTATTTTTAATATTTATAAATACATCCCTGTAACTTTTAATATTTGTAAATACACCCCCATAACTTTTAATATTTATAAATATGGCCCCGTATCCGTATCCTACTTTTTTTTGTTTTGCCGTATCCCCGTACCCGTGTCCGCGTTTCCGCGATTCCGCGTACCGGTATCGGTGCTACATAGCCCACAACTAATTGAGAACTGCCCCCACAGCTAACTGGAACCTCACTATCCAACTCTACAATAATAGTTACAAATAAATGGAGACCATCCCACGGTGTTGATTAACCATTTGCGCAACAGAAAATGATACTACTATGTGGTTACGAGACATGGAATCCAAAAACGTGAACCATGTATGATGGGTAGTGTACTCGGGGGTATGTATCCGAAGGGTTATTGCGGGGAATAACTTAGAGAGAAGTCAGAGCAAGTAAATGTAGAGAGAGAGAGTGTATTATAAATGTGGAGCGTTTTCAGCGTGGTTACAAATGGGGGAATGGGGTGCTATTTATAGTAGTAATAAATGCCGGACAGGGACACGTGTCAGGCGCTCATTGGCCGAGGGGTCACCTCAACCGGTTGGCGCTGGCAGCCGCATGCGGCCGCATTTAATGCGGCTGTTGGATGGGACGTCTGTGCAGGGTACGGTGATCTGTACGCATGTGAGGCGGATATCTTGTCGAGTGAGATGCCTTCGGCTATAGCGCAGTAGCCGAGGGCTCCTCCAACCGATGGCACCCTGGTGCCGAGGGCTCACAGTGCCGAGGGCTACTGTTTTCGCCGTTTTCTCCCAGTTTCTTAATTTGCTTGAGAAACCCGTTCTGTGAGAGTTTAGAGCCTTCGGCCAGGGGGGCGAAGGCACCCCTGGTGCGTAGTGCGGGCTGCTTGGTACTCTGGGCGCTGTGATTTGGGCCTGTTGGGCCTTCTGGGCCTGTTGGGCCTTCGCAGGAGTAGTAGGAGTCTGTGGGCCGGGGGTTCCCGGGCCATATACTCCATCAGGAGTCCCTCACTCCTTTTGCCGAAAGGTATTTGAGGGAAAAGGAGTAATTTGTGCTTGCCCTTTGATGTTGTCCTGTCGTGATCTCTGAAGTTGGTGAAGAGTTGTTGCTTTTATGTCCCTGCCGAAGGCAGTCCCTCAGTTACCCACATGTCGGGACTTGAGGGCTTGCTTTGTCGTTTGTTGGAATTTCACTAATTTTGTAATTTAATGATTTTCCCGAGGGGGTCCTCCAGTCCCCCACTCCTTGAGGCACTTGTAAAGTGGTGAAAAGGAGTAGAGTAGTTGCGTTGCTGTTGTGGGCCGAAGGCTGACGCTTTTCGTTTCATTTTGGGGGGATGCCTCGTTAAAAACCTCATTAGGAAAAACCCTGGGGGAAAAAATCCTAATGAGGGAAAAAGAGTGCACCGAATTCCCCCAATGATGAATCGAAAATGTGAAACCTTGGTCAAAAATGGAGAACAACGGTAATGCCGAAGGCTCTTCCTTTTCTGAGGACTCATGTGTTGGTTAGCCGAAGGCTTGCTATTGATGTCCTGGGGGTGCCGAAGGGGAGCCCCTCAATCCGGGGATCGAGGGCCTGCTGGATGAGGGCAGCAGTGGAGTTGTTACCGGGGGGGTCCACTGTTTGTTGATTAGTTGGTGATGAAGATACCCGAGGGCTCCCATTACCTGTGTGCCATGGGTTATCCGTCAATGAGGCAACTCCCCGGGGGCTACCCGGTTTTGCAGCGCTGAGGGGGAATCCCCGAGGGGGTGCCCTGACATGAAGCCATGGGTTTCTGAAGGAATGATCTCGAAGGCGTCTGTTATGTGCTGTGTGGGGCACAACCCGGGGGCGTCTCTGGGCAAGTGTACCCGGAGGCTCTCCTTGACGAAGCGGAGTGAAGTAGCAAACCCGGAGGCTTCCAGAATATAGCCGTTGGAAATATAGCCGTTGGAATATGTAACGACAGGATATAGCCGTTGGGGGGGGGGGCACACGTGGCGTGTGATGGCTGGCTGTCCGTGGGCGGCATCACTGGTTGGGTGAAAACACGGTGCGTAATGATGACGGTCCGTCCGGAGGCTCGGTTTCCGGGCCCAAGCCCGGATTCCAGCGCCTATAAATACCCCAAGGCCAGAGCCATTTCCTCTTGTGCGATCAGTTGTCTTAGCGAAGCTCTGCCAAAAATTCTAGTGAGAGAAACTCAAGCCTTCGGTCCTAACTCAGCTTTCGAGGTCAGTGCCCCCCTGCCTTTCTCCTTCTAGTTTAGCTGTGCCTTGTGCCCCTAGGTTAGGAGATAGAATTTTTTAGGAAACCCTAGTTTTCCCGAGCCTTCGAATTAGTGAGCCTTCGGTAGAGATGGAGACATGCTCAGATGTGGAGTCGTCGAGCGTGGAGTCTTCGGCGGGTGGTGATGGAGACATGCTCAGATGTCATCACAGAGCGACTCCCAGAATATCTCGGGGGAGCCTTCGGTAGAGATGGAGACATGCTCAGATGTGGAGTCGTCGAGCGTGGAGTCTTCGGCGGGTGGTGATGCCGCAGTGGCCATGGAAGTGGAGAAGGACCTCCAGGCCGAAGTCGAAGCCGAGGACTTCGAACAAGAAAACGAGGACGAAGAGCTTGCCCTCGCCGTGCAGACCGCCGAGCAAGAAGAGGAGAGGGAGAGGCTGAAGGTGACGGTTGCCATTCCTCCCCCCGGGGTGCCGGGGAAGCCAGCTCCTCCCGGCCATTGGACCCGACGCCCATAAGTGTGGCTCCCGAGAAGAAAAACAAGATGAAGGCGGCCCCGAGGAAGAAGCAAGCGGCAGTGGATGCCGGGCGGCCGGTGGGCATACCCGAGGGCCATTCGTTCTTGAATACTGCCGCTCTAGAGCTGAAGACGAAGGCGTCCCCGGCAGAATACCAGTCCACCCAGATGCTGGTTGGCCCTTCGGCGCGCGTGGTGGAGCCCAGGGCGGATGATTTGCTGCGATATGCGCCCGAGGGGTGTTTTGCTGCTCACACCCTCTCGGTGGAGATGGGGCTTCGGTTCCCGCTCCATCCTTTTCTCGTGGAGTATCTGAGGTTTGTGGGGTTGGCCCCCTGCCAGCTAACGCCCAACAGCCACTCCTATGTGGCCGGCTTCCTCTCCTTGTGTCAGAGCCGGGGGGTCGAGCCCACACTTGATCAATTCTTCATGTCCTTCAACCTCTGCCGGGGGGGACATTCAAACGCTGAGGGCTTTGCCAACCTTCAGCAGGTACCGGAGTTCCGGCTTTTTGATGATGTGCCCTCGTCCCACAAGGGCTGGAAGGAGAGGTTCTGCTACATTCGCCTCGAAGAGAACCCCTTCCCGGCCCAACTCCGCAATAGCTTCCGGCGCCATCCGAAGGTGGGGAGCGCAGCTCTGGAGAAGAATGGCAAAGTGCTTGCCAGGAAGCCGGAGGGGTCTGACAAGCACGTCAAGATCAGAGACGTCACCCTTCCAGAGGAACTGCTCAGCTTGGGCTTCCGGCAGTT